AACTTCGAGCAATGACACTTTATGTTCTTCTACGACGTAGTTTAACCTTTTTTAGATTAAGACATTAATGTATATTATTCTTCTGGGTGAAAATATTATGATGGCTAATCTATAATTTTTTCATCGTAGTAACAATTTATTCTTAGATTCATTATATTCACTTGAAGATGATATCACAAACTAGAAGATAATAAATAATTTTCCCAGATGATTCACAATACATGTAAGTGTTTATCAAAACTACTGCATATCTATGATATTTGTTATTGGTTACCTTTAACAACAATTGAGTTATTTATGAATTACTAGATTTATGATAAAAAAATGGAGTAATAGATCAGGGCTTGCTAGATCTTGCTTTGGGACCCATGCACATCGTCAAAATTTGGTAAATTTATGATGTGATTGGCTACAAGTTTCATATGATGTCCTGATCAGAAGGAAAAAAAAGACTTATAATTCTGACGTTTGTGTTAAAGCAAATAATAACTAAGACATTGAGATAGATTATTATGGGATTCTCAAAGTAGGTGTTAAACTATCTTTTCCTAGCTCTATTAGTGGAAATGTATTCTTGTCAACTATGACTGGTTCAATCCTATTCCTAATCGTGGAACAGGGGATATGTAACTGTATAATATCATAGAAGTAAAAGTGAATAGAAGATATGATAAATTTGATCTTTTCATTTTAGCAAGATAAGCAAGTCAGGTATTTTATCTTTCATATCCCCATATAATAAGAGACAAAGTAGAATGAGCAGTTGTCATAGCCAGTAAACCAACATCGACTACTATTATTCAGAATTCAATTGAACCAGCTCATCAGGAATTAAAAATGATAGAGTCATACATTTCACTTGGCGTTATCTATAAAGAGGTAAATTAAGTGGATGCTGATGAACACGAAGAAATTGATATTGATGAGCATGATTTAGACGATGGATAAGATGAAATAATTTTAACTGCATTATCAAGTGACTCATCAAAAGAGTTTAAGGAAGATATGTAAGTGATATTTTATTTTTTTACTTTTTATTCCTATGTTTTCAGTTTTAGTTGTTTGTAGATTGCACTGTATAGTTTTCTCTTTCTTTTACTGCATACTTTTATATTTTTTTTTTGTTTTAATAGTTTGTAGATTTTACACATGCAATTTAGCGTTTTCCTTTCTTTTTACTCCATATTATAGTACTTTCATTTTTAGTAGTATGTAGATGCACTAGTTAAATTTACTTTCCTGCTTGCAAGTTAACTTCTGGAGGAAAGGGCAATATGCCCCTCTGCTGTGGGGCGTATTGGCTTGTGGAAGTTTGTAAGTCTTTGAGGCAGTGGACGTGTTGGTATAAAGTGCACCAAACTGGCACCACCTCCAGTCCCAGCTACCACACCAGTTCCTTCACCAGCCATGACCCCGACATCACTACCACCACTAGCTACAATACCACCACCGACACCAGCCACGACACCACTACAGCCAATACTCACAGCCACGACACCACCACAACCACCAGCCATGACCATAATATCACTAGCACTATCAGCATCAACTGATATTGATGTGTCGTCGAATTTGAGCAACACGAGCATCCAACATTATTTCAGGATAGTGAGGAACACACGAGTTTTAATTTAATGTCCACATAACTACGTTGTGTTTTTTATATTTAATAGAGAATTAATTACATGCTATTTTCATAATAGTCTCCCTACATAAACCATTCATTCCATCAGAGATATAATTAGGAGCAAGTACGACTAGCCGTACTTATCCTAAAAGAAGAACTCAATCACAGTTCATGATATGTGGTTTGGTGAGTTTAAGATAAAAATAGAATACAATAATTATATTTATTTATTTATTTTTATGAATCTAACAATTTCTAACTCAATTTACATAAGCAATGATCATAGCCCCCCGAGGAGGAGGCCCACATCCACTGGAACTTTGAACACAAGGGGAGCGATCATTTGCGAGACCAGTTCGGTGATATACGTCGGACATGTGAGCGCCCTTTGTGGCTGGGCGAGGTTGTGTTTGCCACATTGCGCAAAACCTGCTACTCTCCCAAATATCAGAGAAAGTGGGAGCAGACAGTTGAATCACCGCTTTGATTATGGCAGCATGGGGGCCTCAAAACACACCGACAAAGC